AATGAGACGTTTTACGGGAATTTTCCGATGAGTTTTCATTGAGACATAAGCATCGCGGCAAATGTTTGAAAAAAGTGACGTGTGTACAAAATGCATTTTTTCTCTAAAACTAGTTTTTTGCTACCGGGCTTTATTGTGCCACATTACGACCCCCTTCCCCCCTAAATTTTACCCGATGAGGTTAAAAATCTTACCATAGGTACTCAAGACACTATTGCGAACGTAGTTTTTTGGAATTTTATTTTAGACTTTTCTTTATCGAGTTATAGAGTTTCTAAAATTGAAAAACTTGGTTTTTGAGACGTTTTTCAGTATTTTTGCTATAGCTCGGCAAAGAAAGGTCTAAAAGAAAAGTCCAAAATTATACCTCTGCGATACGTCCCTGAGTACCTCTGGTCAAATTTTTTAACTCGATCGGATGAAATTTAAGAGGGATCGTAAGGTGGCACAATGAAAAACTGGTTAACAGTGATAGTTAAAAACTTGAAACAAAAACGAAAACGTACTCCATTGAGTTTCTGATCAATTCTGAAAATATGAAGCCTTAGTGACTCTTAGTTTTTATTTCACAACATTTCTACGGAAAGCCCAAAATAAGGGGAGGAGTGCCCTTAAAGAGTACCCTTTGCTTCTTTCTAAAAATTCTAACATGCCAGTTTTTAAAACAGTTCTTGTACTCGTCATAGTACTTTATGAGCTGTAAAAAACGAGCGAGAATAAGAATTGAAATATATTTTGTGAGTCAAGATCCCGACTCAAGACATGTAAGGAACCCGTTTCCTTGTCCGAAAAAATCTAATCCTGTTTTCAAATTTTTCTTTTGCGAATAGTATTTCTTTAGAGCTTTAACTTTCCATATGTATCATAATTCAAACCTTCAAACTTTATCTATAGGTTCGATCCGACTTTATACAGAGAACGTTTTTTTCCAGTGAACACAGTTAATTAGCCTGAAAACCACCTGTTTTTCAGCAGCTGTTTCGTGACAGAGGTACTACCTTGTCAAAGACTAATTGTATGAAGTTCTCGAACGTCTCTTATTTATGGGAGAAAAATGGCTAAAGCATCAATTGTATTGACTTTTAGGTGTCATTAGGCTAATGAGCAAACCGAGTCCGAGTTCTGAGTCCATTTCGAGTCAAAGAATTTATAACAGAGAAAAGTTACACTTCTATTGCAAATCTCTCTTTGCTATATACTCTTTGCTTCTTACTACTACTTTTATGCAGTAAGAAATATTCCATGTTTTAGTTTTCGTTAGGCATAGAGTTATATGTTCAATTTCTACTGTACAATCGGATTCAGACTCTTGTTATGAACAAGCGGCTGTGTGCTAAACGGAATTTTTAAAGAAAATAACACGCCCTCACCCTCACCCTCAGAAAAATAGCCAACGAACAACTGCACAAACTAGTACATGGACCATCATCACACACTGTATATTTAAGGAGAAATTGTTTATTTTCGAACATCCTCTACCTAGTGATCATCCTTCAGTGATCATTTTCTCCCATTTTACTCTCATAAATAAAAGAGGATGCAACTAGTCTTTAGTATAGAAAAATAGCTCTTGAAAAGCTCTACAATATTTTGAGAAACAAACTCTACATACTATTGCTCAATCCATTATAATTCAAATACGAGAAAAATCAAGGAAATGCAGACATATTTTGCAGTTTTTACCATCAAATTTCAATTTTTTTCTCAAAACCAACATCGCATTCGGAATCACCGTTAAAAACTGCATGAAATAATCTTTGTTTCGGAATTTTTAGCCAACTATCATTTTTTTCGAATTTTTTCGACCGAGATTTTTGCTGAAAAATGATCAAAATTAAGTCGAAAAATCAGTGGGTCAAAATCAAGGGAAAACAGACCCCCTCCTTTGCTCTAATCAGATACGCATGATTAAAAAACTTGAGTCTGACAAATTTCGATTCATAAACGATGACTGTATTAGGCTGGCACCGTTTAACGATGTACCGCTAAGACCTGCTTTAAGCAACGGATCTTGTGATGCATTACTTAAGTCGATATTATTTAGTTCTGTTTCGGTCAAATCAATCGGATCTTGGTTAACTGTAATAAGTTTGATTCCATAGAGAAATTTTATCAAATCAACTTATCGCTTCAAATCTAATTGCCATAGTGCTACTAACATTTTAAGTCGAATAACAGCTAGTCTTATGTTATTAGTGGATGAGAAATTATTTGACAACAGTAGTTGCGATACTTCTTTTCCCGTTAAATGACGATCGTTTTCACGTGTTTGATTAGCTAATTCTAAATCTTGTTAACGTTGTTTAGTAGCTATTAGAATATCTTTTTGGCCGTTTTTGCTGCGCAATTTGAGTCTGCTGTGCCGTCATCATAATTCCTAATATTCCAATGATGACCGAAGCCAAAATGATGACTGAAGCCAACAAATTCAAAAAACAATCTTTTAACGTTAAACCGTAACAAAAACAATATCTTCTATGGAAATGTAAACCGCTTGTTGTTGTTACTTTATCTATGGGTATTGATGCACTAAACAAAAATTCGGTTACTTTTTTGAAAAGTTGGCGAAAGGTGGATAGAAGATTATTTTGATCTTGAAAAGATACTTCTTATGTTCAGATGTGTTTGCAAGATATATTAGGATTTTTTTCTGACAAATATATTATCCGGAATTAATATTAATAATTTTATAGATGAACGACTAATTCAAACCATTATGTTAATAGGTCACTGCAGGTATAAAGGAGGGAACTGTATAAGGTTGATAATCGATCCACTTCATTTTTTGTCTAAAAACCGTTCTGTAAATAGTACACAAGTATTTTTAGTCAGTTTTAAGGAATTTCGAATAATTTTGATAAATTCTTTGCCAATAGGGCGCCAATGGCTCATTCCTCAAAGATCAAGTATAGGTTACGTAAAATGTGTTTTTCTAATGTTTTTTTTCACATAGACGACAAAGTAAATATATGTTGGATAGCTCCTAAATTTTCGACAGAATGGGTGTAACACAACAGTTAATCGCAGTGCTCTGATAGCAGTAGGGCGCTTAGAATAATCCTACATATACAATATAGCAGACCGTCCTTGCTTGTATGGCCCCTTTTTCTCTCAAAACAGAAAATATAAATTGTTTTTGTTATATACCATTTTGGAGCTCATGAATTCGCTACAAACTGGCAAGTTTAGAATTTGAAGATCATTCCGACCAGTCCGAGAAAACGGACCAGAAGTAAAGCGTCTACGGAAAAATGTGACATACTTTGAGTTTTTACTATCCTTTACACTATTGTTCATCCAAAAAAAGAGAACGGTATATGGAGGCTTTTTGAATAACTTTTGAATGGTGAAAGCTAGAGTTTTCAAATATGGAAAGAGGAGATTATGGAGCATCTTTTTATTACACAATGATATTTTACGCATTGAAAGCGATGACATTTTCTTTTGTAAGTTTGTAAAAACGAGGAAAAAAGAGGAATAGAGGTCAGTTTTTTCGGGCGAAAAATGCTAAAAAATATCTTCGCAAGTGTAGAAGTATGTAACGGTGGCATATCTATGATCTGCGTTCAATAGTGCATCGAAACAGTAAAAAATGAAATTCAGTATTGTTTAGATATATTTTGCATCGTTCATAATATGCGCACTGCAAAATGAGAAAACAAACGAAAACAATAGAAATTTCGTTCATCTGTTGTTTTCTCCGTCTAGTTGTGATCACTATTATTCTATATTAAAGACTGCATCATCTTTAGGTATCTGTCTATTTTTTTCTTTTATCTCACATGTCTTTCTTCTTTTGGATGTATATGTATGCAAGCATACATTAAGATATAGTCAGTTCGAGTGCATATAGAACACAGGGTTAGTAAGTGGTCAGACCAGTTAGTGGCCTCCTTACTTCATGTTATTCCTACATATGTATTTTTACCATTATTTTTAAATATACTATATAGATTGGATAGACACTTTGTTTAATCTAGGTTGTTGAGAGAGTTTCTAGTCTCACTTGACTGACGACCCCGAGCTTAACGACTAGTAAAAGTCAACAGTAAAAATACATGATGACATGAACCGGGTACTTCCATTCAGGTCCGCCCACCATTACGTTAGCTCCGAGCCGCGAAGATCTCAATATCGCCATCGTGTAGAGCATAAAAAGTTAACCCTAGAACATTAGACTTATTTTTCAAACAAACATGTGGAACATGGTTTTCCAGTGGTCCAAAGTTTTAGGGGTACTTTTGGGATTTTCTTCTCAAACCCAAATAAAACCCTTGACTGCTCGAGAGGAAACTATAGAGGCACAAAGCCTGAGTGAAATGGCGAAAGAATTAGCCCGATAGCTATCGGTGTTTTTGAACAGTGATCGATTTAGTGGAAAAAATTGGAAAGTTTGAGCTCATATATCTCAAAATCTCTCCGAAAATTTTTTCTACTTATTATCAGAATAGATAGAGCTCATCGAGGTCTACAAAATGGCTGTAGTCGATTGTTCGACAAACGTCTTCTTCATCGTCATTTTGAGCCTCGAAATTCATAAAATATCGATAGTCTTTTTATCGTGGTATTGAAACATTGGACTAAAACTTTGGACCACTGGAAAACCATGTTCCACATGTTTGTTTGAAAAATAAGTCTAATGTTCTAGGGCTAACTTTTTATGCTTTACACGATGGCGATATTGAGATCTTCGCAGCTCTGAGGTTTGTATAGCGTGGGCGGAGCTGTATGGAAGTACCTAACCACCTGATGAACAACCATATCGAATTTGTTCGTCAATAGGTACTGTGTTCGTGAAAAAAGAGGATTTTTCCCAAAAAGGAGGCCAAAAAGAGGATTTATAGAATAAAAGAGGAAAAAGAGGCGGAGTGGGAGGCCAGCTTACGTTACGTCGCAAAATTTCAAAATGAAATCAGTTTGAAATGTGATATGTTTTAGATAAAACTGAAAGAATTAAACAGAATCGCATTTTAACGCTTGAGCGTGAAGAGAATACAAACATGCAGTATCCATTGTTTGTTGATTCAAATCACACAGCAAACTATAGAGTATTTCGACCTGGCTATCCACAACAGCTATACAAACATATTTTGGAATATTATTTCAATACCACAACACCTGATAAAAAGATTCCATTGGCTTTGGATGTTGCATGTGGCAGTGGTCAGGCAACAGTTGATTTGAGTAATTATTGTGAAAAAGTTATTGGTATTGACGGCAGTGAAAATCAACTGAAACAGGCTCAACAGAAAGATAATATTGAATATCAATGTCATTATGCTGAAGACTTGTCATTTCTTCAATCAAATTCAATCGATTTAATCACAGTTGCTACGGCATTACATTGGTTCGATATTGAAAATTTTTTTAAGCAAGTTGATCGTGTATTGAAACCAAATGGTGGTGTGTTAAGTATATGGAGTCATGGTTTAGATAAACCTGCCAATGATAAAGCAGCAAATGTTAAATTAGATTTTATAAATAATGATTTAAATGGATGTTGGAATGATAGACGAAAAATAGTTGAAGAACAATATTTATCTATATTAGATTCATTTCCATATCAAGCTACAAGAGTTAAACATGTAATTGATTATGAAATTGAAATGACAATCGAAAATTATATAAAATTTACTGAAACAATGAGTCCATGTCAAACGTATAAAGAAAAAAATGGTGAGGAAAATTTTAAAAAGTTATTAAAAACATTTGCAGATAAATTAGTTGAATGTTACACTGGAACAAATAATGACGGATACAAAACGAAAATGATTGTTAAATGGTCAATACACTTACATTTGATGAAAAAATTATAAAAAACAAACTAGTTGTCTATACATTCCGCATATGAATATTATTATCTGATTACTTTTTTTCCTAGATGGCAGATTAAGACTACGTTCAGTAATCACTGTTCTCCTGGTATTAGATGATAAAGTAACAATTTGTATTATATTAACAATATCAAGTATCATAAATGCGAGCAAATTATCCGAGCAATAAAGGAATAGCAACTGATCGACCGACCGGAATATATTTTGAAACGTTCCCTAAGTGATCGTCTTGTTTTATTTGATAATGAGACGAAAATTTGGATGACTCGTTATAAAAATTTGTCTATGTGACTGATAGAAATGTCGACTAGGTCGCTCAGTAGTTAGAGCATAGACACTGGATGTCAAGGTCCTGGTTTCGAATCTTAGTCTGAGCACACAGCATTTCTGAGAGAGAGAGAGCGAATTAAGATAAATAAAATCTTCCGATTTTTCCTTAGTGACGGAGCTGAACTGTATCCTTCTTGATCACCCAAAATATTGCAAAAATTTAAAGCTCTTTTTGCCAAAATCTATAGTAAAGTTTCCTTGTCTCATATAACATCACATGCTTTTGACTTTTTCACCCACGGGATATGAGCTAACATTACCAAAATAATATAGATGTATGCAGTTTTCAAGACTCTATTCAATGATGGTAAAATGTGTTTTTCAAAGTTTAGTCATTTTTGGGAAAACTCATTTTTTCTAAATCACAGGCGAAAAAGTCGGAATTCTGCCCGTATTTCTCAATTTTCACGATCAGAACTCAACTTTCAAGCAATAAGAATATCATATTCGGAATCAGGATCAAAAACTGAGTCGATTTTTGTGTACTTCGAAGATCCATTCCAGCCCAATTTACCATTCCATTAACGCTTTTTCTCCCCTTGTATTTTATGCACCGAAAACGATGATATTTTCAGGTGTTCCTTCGCAAAACTTTTGTTTCTCCAGAAAATGCATAAAACAATTGATGAATGTGATGTTATATGGGACAAGGAAATTTTATCCTCTGGATCCTCTGAAAAAACACTTTTCCAACAACTTCTTAAAAAGCTTTCCGCTTATAAAAACATCTCTTTCCATATCTAAAAACTCTGGCTTTTACCATTCAAAAGTTATTCAAAAAACCTCGATATACCGTTCTCGTTTTTTGGATGGATAATAGTGTAAAGGATAGTAAAAACTCAAAGTATGACACATTTTTCCCCAGTGGGTTTACTTCTGGTCCATTTTCTAGGACTGGTCCGACCGATCTTGAAATTCTGAACTTGCCAGTTTGTAGCGAATTCATGAACTCCAAAATGGTATATAATAGAACAATTTATATTTTCTTGTTTGTCTGGTTGATTTTTTAAAACCATCAGGTTGCATACGTCATCTTGCTGATGATCATTATTCTGTGAATCATTCCAAAAAGTCACTCGCGCACGTAATAATGACTTGACATCCTCAGTTTAAAACCAGAAGTTTTTAGCTGGAAAACGAGAAGGAGAAACTTTTTAGGCATAATTCGGGTACGGATCGGGTACGGATGAAAAAAATGTTTAGGGTACCCAGCTCAAACGGAACGGTGCGTTAAAATTACCTGTTATCACAGATAGCGGAGAAGTTCCAGTTTCATATGTGACCTGATTCTGAATTTTCAGTTCTGGATGAAAATCTCGGTAAGTTTCCAACGTGAAAATTCTAAAAATATTAAAGTAGCCGGATAGGAAAGAAATACACATCAGTCGACTCAGTTTTTGATCCTGATTCCGAATATGATATTTTTATTGCTCAAAAGTTGAGTTCTGATCAAGGAAATTGAGAATTAGGGGCGGAATTCCGAGTTTTTCGTTAATTTTCCAAAATATTCAGAAGAGAGGCATAATAACCATGATGGGCATAATCGGCATAATCCGCGATACGGCGACATTATCGCGAAGACTTGTGTATTGGAAAAGGCGAATAAAAGAGGCTGGTTTTGTACTTTGTACATCATATTTTCAAACTTAACTGAAGTTATGTGGTGCCTAGTCATTATCTGATACAGTCACAGATATCTAGTTCCGCATCATGAAAATATTTTTTGTGTGAAACTACTTTTCGAATAAGATTAGACTATATCCGAAACTATCACAATGATTCCGGAAACTCATCCGATTCCCTGGAAAGCCATTTAGAGCATCATCTGCTTTGTTTGTCCATCTCGGATGAAAACAATAGATGAACAGTGTGTTTATTTACACGCCGACATCGGGTGAAGTTCATTTTTTCTCTCAACAATTGAAGCTGTAAATTGGACCTATGTACGACGAGTCGATGCATATCAACAACTATAAGGAATAGAAAATTAGTGATATTTACTTTTTGAGGAAAGGTGAATAGAGAAGAGCTGGCATAACGAAATAACCACTAATCTACCAAAACTATAAGCCTAATGAGGATGAAGATGCTAATTCTCCTAGCCACCAAATTTTCATTTCAACCTGAAAAGCTCTCTTTAAATATTACTGAGATGTATCCTTGCTTATCGTTATGAAATTTTAAAAACTAAAAAGAGCTTCTAGTATAATTAGCAACTTTTTTCTATTATGGCCTCTTTCCTTTTGACTAATAAATTTTAAAAACCTGTAGAACCTTTTTGAAACGATGACAAAAGGATCATCCAGCTAGAAACTGTTCAAGACAGAGTATTGAATTCTGCACAAAATGAGCCTAAAATAAAGTTTAAGTCTCTGATCATTTTTTCCATGGAACGATTTTACTCATGCGGTATCCAAGTTGCTGTGTCAAAAGTGTACCTAAATTTTTATATTAAAAAAATTGGAATTCTCAGAGAAGACTTTATTTTTTTCTTTTAAATGTCAGGATTTGAAGCGCAAAATTTGAGGATGTTTGTCTGCAAATGCGCTCTTGCGGCAAGCGTTGTTAATGCAGCTGTGATATTTTTACTGACTATAATGCTTTTGAGAAATCATAAAAGGCTTTTATCTTTCGGCCATTTTTTCTACTCCCCTTCGTTCCACAACATAACGACAATAGATGTAGATGCACAATAATCTCGCCTATCTAATGGCAAAAAGCATTTTTCAAAATAGTGAACGGTTATTGGAAAAGTCATAAAATGATGGCAAAGACGGGAAAGACAGGGTTTCATCGTGGAGTATTAGCTGAGCGCATTAAGGGCCACCCCCTCCTCAGAAATTATCTCTAACGCCGTACATCCAATCTTGACGAAACTTTTCAAACCTGTTAGGTTCAATGAGTTACAGGATTGAAAATTTTTTCTGGAGATTAAGGTCCAAAGGGACCCTAAAGTATTTCCCAAGATTTTTTGATATACTTCAAGCTGGAGAGTTCGGGTTTGTTTTATTTTAAACCAGACACCTAACTACATGGGCTGACAGGCGCGCATTTTTCAATTAAGCCTTTGATGGTTTTCCAAGCAACCAACAACCTGCAAAACCCGAAAAATCCTTCCGAGTTTTCTAAAATCTTCAGTTTGACAGAAAACTAAGACCTACTTCAAAAATCGGCGCTTGTCAGTCCATGTAGTTTCTTTTCCTCTTTTAAACACAAAAAGAATAAACTGTCTACGACAAATCCCTATTAAAAATCTTGGGAAATACTTCAGGTGTAACTCTTATATAGAGAAAACGCTGTATAAAATACTCAATTTCAGGACTTGTAGGAAAAGGCCTGTAGCGTTTTGATGCAAGGTCATACAGAGTTGTACGAGGTCTTATTTTGATCAGAAACGTTTGCTCTACAAATCTGTGTGTTCAGAAAAATTTTAATTTCATAAGTATCCAGGAAAAAGCTATTAATTGAAGATCCGGTTTTTCGAGGCTTCTAGAAAACTTGCTCAAAATCCCCGAAAACTCAATTCTGTAACCAAAACTGATATAGATTCTGAAAGTAGACACTTCAGCCTACCTTTTCCTGTACTTATCTCAAAACCAATTTTTTCACAGAAAATCACAATTTCTGTGGGAGCCTTTAACACACTCACCACCACCTCGTGTAAGAGTAGGATCCTGTGCATTAATGGGGGATGTCCTCCCCAAACATGCGCTCAAATTTAGCCAGTTTGTAGGGAACACCTTCGGTGGTATGCCTGTGGAATAAAAAACTCGTTGGTCAAGTATTGACAGAGTTATTAAATAATTCAGTTCAAAATTAATTGAAATTTTTAATGTGAAAGGCATCTTTTAAAACCTTTCTAGCTTTCGATATAAATGTTACATTCAATTGATTATTATGTAGTTTTATAGAGAATTGTTTGTAGATATAGTTCCATACAAAAAAGGTTTAAAACGATATCTCTGACTGTTTTTTAATTACTAATTAGTTTTGGTTAGCACTAATTAGTGGCACTCCAGTGGACAAAGTAAATTTTCCTAATGTCAGAACAAATCGAAGCAAATCATGCGATATCATATATATATATATATATCATTCGACAGAACTATTCGAGCTCCATCAATTGTCCGAGCCACTCGTTTTAATTTTTGCCCTTTTTGCCCGAAAAAATCCGCTTTAAACCATTTTTGGTGTCAAAAGGCTGACCATTTCTCCGTTCATTAATGAGAAATTTTTAAATAACTTTTGATTGACAATAGCTAGAGAGTTGCGGCTCCGTTATTTGATAGCCAAGACATCGCCGAATCTTTATTTGACAAACGGGCTTTTCAAAACTTGTTGAAAATCCGATTTCTTGGAGATCTCTCGATACCACGCATGAACCACTAGAAACAAAGGTCTCGCATGGCATCCGTTCTATAAGAAACGCTTTAGGCTATCTATTCAAGGAAAAAGTAATATAATGGCCTGCTATATGCCTGCTGGTTCCGCAACTTCAGAAAGAATATTCAGTGCCACTGGGTGAGTTTTAGAAGAGCGTCGACAAAGGTTGGACCAAGAAACAATCGATGACATTATGTTGCTACGAAATTTTATAAGAGAAATATGATTCATTTATTTAAAAAAATAAAGAAATAATTATAAATGAAAAAGTCTCAAATTTTCAAAGGGTAGGGCAGGGTCAGGGCTGCACTGCCACGGGATAGGGTAGGGCAAGGGCTCCGTAAACAGTTTCCCTGCACATCTCTAACCGGGATCAATTCTCTTTTTTTTCCAGGCTCATTTATTTTCGTGTCCCATCAGAAGAATGGTTTAAAATGTCTTTCTTGATTGTTTCTTTCTATAAGATAACAGTTTATGTATTTTGATTAACTATTTTTAACTTTCTATAGAAATAAAAGTTGAGAAAAAGCATTATCCTTTGTCAAAACGTGATTCCATCAAAGCCGATTTTTAGTATTTTTCAACTTTTCTTTTTTTCTATATATAGCTTTTTATCTAAGCTACAACTTTCTTATAAGAAATGTTTTCATCGCACTTTTCATTGAGCTAAGCTTTTCAGTTCTTTACACAACGGTCAGACTAGTCGTCCATTTCTGATGATTCCGTCAGGAGCTATATTTCAATCATAAAATTCTAACCGAAACTCCAAATCCAAAGAAATTTTCAGAATGTGTAGAGCACTAGGGCTTGAATATCCACTGAAAATTTCAGCCGTATCCAGGTCGATTCCGTTGAGATAATTAAGAAACAAAGTGCACAAACGTGAGTCCGCCACGCTTGGACAGGCCGATAGATAGAGATATAACATACAAGAGAGACAATTTCACAAAAAGACAAGACAAAGATAACGAGTTCCATGTTTCACTGATAGGGATTGGCGCTAACAGTTGTGTTCAGCTATTTTGCTCACTTCGAAGGGAAGATTCGGATCTGGTAGTATAGAACATCACATTGCACATGAATAATTTTAATCATCATCAGCAAGGGCAGGACGACGAGCAGCAAAAAAATACGATCAGGAATATCAGTTCAAGCATCAAGAGGAATAGCATCACGACGAGCGTGAGCAGCATAACTAGCATAAAAAGAATCATAAAAAGAATCGCCAAAATTATTATCATAATCATAATCAATACGATCAGGACGAACAAAATCATCACAAAAATCAGGGTTGTGTTGAGATGTTCCTTAATCTAAATTGAAACATTCAGTGGTCAATAATGACGCTTGAAACAAGCTTTGTTGGCCTTTTATATCGTATGGTGAGCGTGACACGACGTGAATTTTGGAAGGAGGAACTCGGCGGGAGGCAAAATAACTATGGATACTGCATAACATACGGACGAGTGGAAGGATATAAACATAGCTTTCCATTTTCGCAATGTTTTTGTATATGTCCTGCGTTTCTTTTGAATTCACAACACGCATAGATAAAGCTGTTATTCGGGCTTCCTAGTCCATCCGATCACTTCTGTAAACGATTTCTCGCCGTCGGATCCACCTGCCTGTAAGGAAAGAGTAGGGGAAAATTGTCGTTAGGCGCGTGGTAATAACCGGTAACCACTGATCAGCTAACTGTGCTTCCTTTTTCTTTCGTCATTATTTCGTTTGAGTTATGCACGTAGTTCGCACAATACACTAAAAAGAAAGGTGTATTACCCAACTTAAAGGTTTCGCATGTGTTCGAAACCTTTTAAAGTTCTTCCGGCGAATACAAACGCGGAGCTAGGGTCACACTTAGGTTTAGTTGTGACAGCTCAAATTCACATATTTGCCCAACCACTTAGTATTCTACAGAGAGAATACTAAGTGGGAATGCTCCCTTGCATTATAGGTAATCGACTACGCTGAGCATAGTGGCAATATTTGTTTTTGTGTAGAAATGAAAATAACTTCGCCCGAGACATTTTTGTGAAAAACCGATTTTTCGCCTGTTACTACCAAAAATTAAAATCCTTATATTTCGGTCAGATCTCATGCTGACTCAAGGAAATTTCCAGGAAAGACTTAAAACGCGCCATATATTGTTGATCAAGCCGAAAAAGAGGTCCAGCAGAACACTGAGGCTTTCGGGTTTTCCAGAAGGTTTCTGGAAAACCTTAAACGAATGCCCAGCCGAAATTCACCTTTTCGTCTTTGTTTTATGATTTATGAGCTATCCTGAGCGTTTCCTGAAAGGTTTCTTGAGTCAGCATGAGATTTGACTGAGATATAAGGATTTTAATTTTTGGTAGTAACAGGCGAAAAACCGGTTTTTCACAAAAATACCTCTGGCGAAGTTATTTTCATTTCTACACAAAAAAAAATATTGTCGCTATGCTCAGCGTAGTCGATTACCTATATTCCATGGCATTTTGAGATTCCCAGAGATGTCTGCTCGGAGACAGACACGTGCTTGGGGAAAGCGAGCCCTGTCCAAACGACGATAGCTGGAGAGCTGGAACTTGTAGAGGGAACTTTTGTAGGCTAACATCTGGACTACCTACGCATGCAAAAAGATCACTAACATTGTATCTCAGTTTTCTGAGAACAGAGCTAGTTTTCCAAAGATCCTCTGAAAATCGGACTTCCAGAAACTTTTGAAACAAGTATAGTTACAAAAACATGTCATGAAGTCTTAGCAACAGAGTCCATTCTATATTGGTACAGACAGTAGTTAAAACCATTTAACATGATACTGTAGTTTCTTTCTTATATTAAGAAAAATATTGTATTCTAAAAAGGCCTAAATAGTATGACAGTTGAATGAACTATAAAAGAGATGTTCTCTTTTTGTTTTAAATATGTTATTGATAGTTTGTTAAATGAATAATCTTTGGAAGCATAGTGTTTAATTGTTTCTGAAGAAGTAGAAACAATTAGAAAAGAAAATCAAACTCGATATAGCAAAACTAGTGTATAGTGGAATGTTCATAGAGGAATAATTGGGGAAAAGAAGAATACCGACCGACCAGAATATATTTTGAAACGTTCCCTAAGTGACAGTCGATTACACGAAGTTTTACTCGGACTTTTCTTCGAGTCACCAGATATCTCCCTACGTTCGCTTGTCACAAAGTTGAACCTTTTTCATACTGGTTTTTACACATTATATTTAAAGTAAGATATTTTTAGTGAACAAAATTTCAACCTCTGGTTAACTAAAGTCTCTCAGGATTCTATTTCACAAATCTGCTTCGACTTGTAAGTGATATTTTATAATTCATACTTTATTATTCATATTTTATATTTCATCTTAAAATAAAAGCGAGAAGTTATCAATAGAAGGTTACACCGAGACTGCTCACATTTGCAATTATATCAGCGTTTTGATGCACTTTTATTTCAAGATCTCGCACAGTACATGCTTAATTGGATCTATATATGGAGAGGTATAGCGGTGTCTATCCCCACCTGAATATTTGAGGCATTTTGTACCACCTCGGGGGTTTGATCTCTCAGTGTACCACCTGAAAAATGCATTTCTAGAGCAAAAAAGCCTACCACCTTACTTTTGTGGGAGGCGTTGCGCCTCAAGCGTCGCACAGGATAGACGCCTCTGGAGATGTCTTAGTTTTGATGAATTATCTAAGAAAGAAGGCTTTTTCTCATCTACTTGACCGTTTAAGGAAAGACTAGTTTAACTATGTACCTAAGCGACCCTAAGAAGAATTTATCTTTCTCTCCGCTTACTTCTTACTCTGAAAATGACTATCAACACTGGATGTGTTTCTTCTTATACGTACACCGTTTCAAGAATGTGTTTGTCTATGTTGATTCGAGTAAAGAGTGTACTATACACGAGATTATTCTATAATATGTTAATCAGACACATTTTTATTTTTTTGATCATTAACATTGAAATGCAATATTTTAACAAAAAATAGAAACAAACACAGAGAAATATTTGTTTAGTAAAAGAAAAAGAGTTTCCCCATCCATCACGATATCAACAAGAAAAATAGAAAAAAAAAAAAACACACACGAATATTCAACTAACTTCTTAAAAGTTTACAACAAAAAATTCAGAATCAATGGGAAAAATTAGATAACAATCAAATATTATATAGTTATGAATAGTATAAGAAGGTGAAGTAATAAAAAATAATTAGATATTCCAACAAAGAAAAATATATATATATTGCGCATATTAGAACAAAAAAAGAAGTTCACTGTTTTATACAACAAATATTTGTCCTCTCTATTTACAAGAATAACACAGCAGTAAAAAATTGAGCAACTAAACGAACGATTTGTTCGATTAACAATGACTAAACTAAACCTTTGAGAAGAGCCGGTTCTAATTGAAAATCAAATTCTTTTAATGGTTGTAATATATTTGATATAAAACGATTTATTTTCTCTTGACGAAAACAATTTGAATTTGATTCATAAAATAAATTGATTAAGGTATCGGAACATAATGTTAATAATTTAAACCAATCGGCTAATAGGTGTAACCTATAAAGACAACAAGTACAAAAACTGCTATACTCTATTAGAACTATCTTAAAATTGGACTTGAGATGCGAAAGCATTTGATAGAGTAAAATCATTTATAAGTTTTAAACTGCTCAGAAACCAGTGAGAGAGACAAGAAATTTTTTTTATATAGTTAGATCTACAAAACGAGACTTTCTGCAGTTCTCTAGTATGTAGAATAGACGAGTTAGCCGCAGGTACAAGATAGAGGTTACTTTTTTCCACGATAAAATCACTCAAGTATGGCATCACGTTTTTTAACTACTATCAGTTCCAAAATACAAGAGCAGTAGCCGTTCTTTGAATATCTGTTGAACAAAAGTAGATGAAGACTCGCGGTTTTCGTTATTCAATAGTCAAGACTTAAGAGCATGTTTTCGTATGGCATAATGTTTCTTTTTAACTAACTCGTTTATTCTACATGCTAGAGAACCGCGGAAACTCTCGATTTGTGTATCTAACTTTGCTCTCTAGTACTATGAAGGAGAAAAAAGTTTTCCTTGTCTCTCTCACTGGGTTTTTGCCGATTTCTCAAAACCCACTGAAGGTCTATGCCAATGCTAATTAAAATATTTTTTCATGCTCTTTCTACTAGTGCCGTTAAATGTTAGTTAAACTAACTAGCAAAAGAAAAAAATAAGATGATTTTTTGTAGTTTTCCACAAGAAGAAAACTGAATTTGTTAAAATGTTTTTTTCTTCAACAACCAGCAAAGTAGTAAAATTTCGACTATATATTCTACAGGAACACATCGTTTCTGTGCATTTCATCTTGAAACATATTCAAAGAACCGGTCTTTTGCACTGAGCACATTTTTGAAATTGCATGTAGTAGTAGATTCTATAATCCTGAACAGCACGGTAGAATCGCGCTGGATGATTTTCGAATAACTCGAGAACCAAAAGAGCTAGCGGTGTTGAGTTCTCAACATCTTGTAGAGTACGTAGATTTTATTCCATCTGATCATTCTATCATATGGTTTCGCATCTGAAGTCCGATATTGAAATGGTTCACCTCATACAACAGAATCTGGGATATCACTGTTTGAAATATGCAATAGGTTGACTGTCATCTATAATTCTACACAAGGCCGACCTCTCGTTACTATTCTGGTTCTTCAATGATAGGCATTTTGTTGGGACCCATCTGACTCTGTTGGACTATGTCTGGAAATCGTAGAAACAACTGGAAGCATGGATTAATCAACTAGACTCAATCTCGTCGCCATGTTCGCTTTTCGAAGAAAATAGAAAAATCTAGTGAAAGCCTGTATTCGGCAAAATATTTTGACTATTTTCATCGAAAATTAAAAAGTTTACAGTTTAGTCAAAATCGATTCAAACTATTTGATAATATCATAGTCTATTTTATCTACATTATACCTCGACATTCAATATCCATTCTAAAAATCAACAGAAAAAACAGTTTGGTTTTTGAAAATTTGCTTTCTAGAATTCGTGTGAAACAAGAGAACATTTTTTACTGATTCTAAGTACAAAATCGGATTGAACAGATTTATCTCAAAATACAATACTACTGGATGATTTTTGAATAACTCGAGAATTGATGAAACAAGTAAGAGAATTCTCATTACTTAGTATTCGTCTAAATCTAAATAATATAATTAAATTTTTCTACTACACACTTGCATCCTAAACAACACCAACTTTGAAATCGTCCATCTTTTCCAAAATTTTGTAGAGCTTTTTCAATTGATCTTACACCATTTATATAACATATGATCGATTTTTCTACTTGACTATTTTTATTATTACGCCATTCTGAACGTTTCATTTCATATTCATCACAAGCTTTCACTAAAACAAACACATTCATCTTATTTTTTAATGTAGAACACAAAGAGTAGATGAACATACATAAAAAATCCCAAACATAACGTTTTCGTCCAAATGGAAAAGCATTTTTTTTCATACCATATGAAAATGTTTTTTCTAAACTATTCACAAGACCATCTTCACCACATAATATTGGTGTCACAATTCCACGCTAAATGAATAAAAATTTGTCGTGACAAAACGCTCAAAAAATTTTCATCAAGTATTTGCCTACTCTTTTCTCTGATTCATCAAAATATTTTACTAATTGATTAATTGATTTTCCTAATAATTCATAAATGTCATCAGCTTGATTTGTTTCTACAATAGAAAAATATCTAATAGTTGTTAATGATTTATCGATCAAATCAAATTAAATAAACACACAAACTAAATCATGCAGCAATTATTTTTCGAATACTCTCTCTCTCTACATGCGTCAGCTAAATATCATGTTGAACTTACGACAATCATCTGTTGAATAATTTAAATTAGACTCTGATCTACTCATCAACCAACTTAACATGAAATCTAATTGAGAATAGAGTCAAGTATATAAAATAAAATTTTAGTTTTCTCTCTTACTTGTTTCACTAATTCGTCGTATACTCGGTGAACGTGAGCGAATTGCTGTTAAATTCGTATTTGAACCATTTAAACTTTGATAATTCAAATTATTACCGTTTGATGTTGTTCCTATTATGAATAAAAATCATCTTATTTTGAAATTATCAGTTTTAAAGGGGAGGGGCACAGTATGCATTTTTCCATAGGCCAGGCGGAAGCCGTCCGACAGTCTACAAACACTTTTTACATAGGTATGCTCTTTCCAATGGTGTGCTTCAATAAGTTCAAAGAGACTTTCATCTGGACGGAGACCGAGTCTCTATAAAACTCACACATAAGTATTCTGAAACTTTATAAGGCGCAGCATTGGAAAGAGCATATCTGAAAACCTATAAAAAAAAGTGTTTGCAGGCTTTCGAATTGCTTCTATAGCAAATATCAAAATCCTTAACCAAAAGTGTTAAGTTATGCTTCGACTTTAGCGTTTCGTTAAATCCAATAATTTTTTGCTCAGAAAAAACTACTAATCGCACATCATTCGATGCAGTGTCTTGCGGTGATTCTGAATATGTCATTTGTATTGAATAGAAACATTTCTGGGTAGAGTTGAATAGAAAATATCTGGAAAAGCTAGGGTTTTTGGAAAATCCATATCTAAGTCCGGGAACGTTTATGCTAATTTATACTAACTGTGCTGATAGAGGGCATGTTGAAGAACATTCTGTAAAATTCTGGACAAATTTGAAGTTGGGCTGTGGAGGGCGCGCAAATTTGACTGAAACTAGCAGTTCGGAAAACCATTTAGGAAAAACTAATTTTCTGCTCAGCAATCTCTCATTCAAACTCAAAATTTTTTTACTAATGTATACTAAATGATGTGGAGATTCATAATTGACAACTCATTCGGTTACTGGAGTCTTCGTTTTTGCGTAAAGTTAAGGTTTCTACGGATGACGCTATTTTCAGACTAGTTTGTAAGTAGCTGGTCTTCCACTCCGCTTGAACTTTATAACAAAATTTTTTATGCCATCGGATAGAGCATGTCTTGAAGTGTATTGATCACTATTTGAATCGTTTAAAAGTCGGTTTTGATTTTTTCACCTAATGTCTGCCTGGATGCACACTGTGGGGGGGGGGGGGGGGGCCCCCACCCCCAATTTTTGCCAGTGGTGGCGGGTGGCGCGGGAGGGTTTTGTGGGGGCCCGGTGTAAGGTGGGGC